CTGCTGCTGCTGCTCTCTGTGCTGGGCTGCATGACCGTGTGCTGAGCACTGTGGTGGGGTCCATCCAGAGAGTGTTGGTAATCACTTGTTTACTGCTAATAATAATACAATTGCTATTGTATTCGGTATACTAAGCACCGAGAAAATTAACCCCAATGACACCCACTGGGCTAGGGTGCATCAATTTGTATGGAAATACCTAATCTCTTTTCATTTTTATACTTGTAAGCAGAGTATTGCTGTGCTCCTTGTGCTGTGTCTCACTCTGTAATTGTGTATTTCTGGTAAACGATATCCCTTTTCTTTTTTTATTTGCTTTTACATTACGTGTGAATGGGGTAACATGTAATTTGCTTGTTCTTTATGGGGACATTGGAAATTGTAATGGGGACAGGGAGAAATCAACACAGAGAGATTTATATATTATACGTTATTGTTATTTTTGTGTGTGTGGCTATCTCTGCAATGTTACCAAATGATATTCAATGCGTTTATGATCTTTTCTTTTTTATTTGGGATTGCATGATTCTTCATTTTCTTTGAATAATGGGTATTTTCCCTAATGTGTCTAATTTCTTTACATTATTTCTTAACTCCATGTGTGTGTGTGTATAGTAATAGCGGTGTACTGGCGCATCTGTTTCTCTCTCTCTCTTCTCTCTCTCTCTCTCTCTCTCTCTCTTTACATACACACAGACTCCAGTGATCCTCAGTGGTATTAATGACAAGAATGTCCATGTTGCCGTATCGTGTGTTGTGTCTGTTGGCCATTGTGTTCTGCTGTGTGGGTGTGANACTGCGTGTTCCACTCCTGTTGCTGCTGCTCTCTGTGCTGGGCTGCATGGCCGTGTGCTGAGCACTGTGGTGGGGTCCCTCCAGAGAGTGTTGGTTATCACTTGTTTACTGTTAATAATAATATATTTGCTACTGTGTTCAGTACACTGAGCATCGAGAAAATTAATCCTGATGACACCCATTGGGCTAGGGGGCATCAATTTCTGTGGAAATACCTAATCTCTTTTCATTTTTTATACTTGTAAGCAGAGTATTGCTATGCACCTTGTGGTGTGTCTCACTCTGCAATTGTGTATTTCTGGTAAATGATATCTCTTTTCTCTTTTATTTGCTTTCACATTACGTGTGAATGGGGTAACATGTAATTTGCTTGTTCCTATGGGGACATTGTAAATTGTAATGGGGACAGGGAGAAACCAACACAGAGAGATTTATACATTATCCGTTATGATCGTTTTGTGTGTGTGTGTGTGGCTATCCCTGGAATGTTACCAAATGATATTCAATGCGTATATAATCTTTTGTTTTTTATTTGGGATTGGATGATTCTTCATTTTCTTTGAATAATGGGTATTTTCCCTAATGTGTCTAATTTCTTTACATTATTGCTTGACTCCATATGTGTGTGTAGTAATAGCGGTGTACTGGTGCTTTTTTCTCTCTATCTCTCTCTATCTATCTATCTCTCTATCTTTACACACACACAGACTCCAGTGATCCTCAGTGGTATTAATGACAAGAATGTCCATATTGCCGTGTCGTGTGTTGTGTCTGTTCGCCATTGTGTTCTGCTGTGTGGGTGTGGTTCATGCTGATGCTGTTCAAGACACCTCTGACATGTATGTGAAAGTACTTTGGATTGTGGATAACACTCCCAAACTGAAAGGAAAGTGCAATAACGCTGGTAAGGCTGCTAAAGATGCTGCGGAGAAAGCTGACGTTTTTGCTACCACCATTAAGGCAAATATCAAGACTCTCGCTTCAAACCCAGCAGAAGTGGTGCAAAAGAAGAAAAAAGGTCGTGAAATCATTAAGGAAGCAAATGATGCCGCAGAGAAGGCAAGAAAAGAGGCCAAAGAAACTGCAGCCAGTGTAACTGGTACTAGATCCATTGACATCTCGGCTCTTGAAAAAGAAAGACTTCACTACGAAAGTTTGACTGACAGTACTGGGAACATCAAATTTCCATTTATGGTAAAAGAAATAAAGGCCGCCATCCAAGCAGTTAAAGATGCAGAAAAGGCGGTAAGTACTGCTGAAAGTCATGCCGACAATGCGACAGAGGCTGCTAAACGTGTGAAGGATGTCCTGAGGGAACTCGACGCCGCAGTTGCTGCTGAAGCTGAAAAGAAGAAGGGAGAACA